ATCACTTTTGGTATAAAGTGTCTATTTAGTTGTTGTAGATCTTTTTCTTTTTTTATTTTGCCTTGTCCTAGGATTTTTTCCAAAGAAAGGACTCTCAGGTGAGATGTTAAGCTTCTAAGGCATCATTACTTCCTACACTAGCAGATGAGGCTCCCAGGAGCTATTGAGACACACCACCAGTCTCAGTCAGAAGGTTCTTAATACAGAGAAGCTGTTTGATTTTCTACATACAGGAACATCTGGGCTCAGCCCACTAACTAGAAATTTGCCTCAAGGTTCTAAGAGAGCCAAGAAAGAAGACAGCTCCTTCATGGTAATGCAGGAATGTATTAAGGATTATGTACTGAGACAGATCCATGGACAACAGCAGGGCAAGCTCCAGTTTCCAAGAACCCCAGAAGGACGCACTGCAGACAAAATAGGCATGGTGCCTGGGCTTTGGATGGCTAACAATATATAACATTATAGCAGATGTTATGTATGAGAGACTTAGCAAGCAAGAGCATAATCACGTTCAGCCTTGCAAAAGCCTGTGCTTCTACATCCATCCCTCTACTATCTGATGTGCATCCGTTTTCTACAGGGTTCTTGGGGGAACCAGGGGGGAGGCATCACAGCTAGGTAAGTAGGGATAGGCACCTTTGTTGCAGCTGCAGGAAGTCTACAGCAGTAATATCAGCATATACAAAGCAAACTGTCTAAAGGGGAGCAAACAGGACATAGAGGCACAAGGCCACGAGCATCTCTCTGAAAGGCCCAGAGGGAGTGAGAATAACACAGCCCCTCCCCACCCAAGCAGAAAGCAGGTAAAGAACCTGTAGCCTTCAGCCCCGTAGTACCTCTATAGCCACAACAGCAACAAGCGGGTTCGTTTATTCATTGTTCATTCACAGTTGTGGTACCAGCAATGGAGTTTATAAGGGAAAGAAGTCAGAAAGTGGGGGAGGCAAAGAATGTCTCACAGTACAAGTCCAGGTTTTAGCCCAAGTTCCAAGGCACAATTCCTCAATTCATCCAGGCTCTGGTTTCAATTTAGCAGTCAAATCCAAATCATCTAGGATGTTTTATCCCAGAGCAATTATAAGTCAGCTTCTCCTTCAAATATCCAGCAAGAACAGTAAACACCTTTAAGTGTGCCCTTTATCTCAGGGCTCCACTACTTATACCTTGCCACAGTTTCTCCACAGCAGTTTCACAGGCTCTCTAACATATCACCAGGGTCTTGCCAACAGAGTCTGCTCTAGTCTCCCTCAAGTCTTGCCACCCTGTGTGTGCAAATGAACTTTTTCTCTTAACCTAGTCCCACAGCTGTTGATGATTTGCAAGACCGTATGTCTGCAGTTCAAGTAGCTGGAAACCAGAGGAGGCTAACTGTAGTGGCTAAAAAAGCCATCTTTTAGGATACCACTACACAGTCCTATACACAGGAAATAACCCACACATCCAGCAGAAACCTTCACCAGCTGGAGGGGAGAGAGGAAAACCAGATAGCCTCAGTAGGCCAGCCAACAATCTTCCAGAGTCTCTGCCTGCTTCTTGTGACCTTACGGGTGTTCTAGGGATAGTCTGAAGTATTGATCCATCCAGTCTTCACTGCAGCAGATATCCTGCCATGGATACCTCTAAGGATGTCCAGATCTATGGGGTTCTGGAAGGTGACATTTTCCTCTGGGTAGTTTCAGCGGTTCAGAGCCACAGGCTTCCCCTACTGTTGTCCAGGATCTGTTTAATAAAATAAATCAGAACTTCAGTTCATCCAAAGAGCCAACAGAGGGAACATGACACTTAAAATTGAGTCATACCAGTGGAAAATACTATACCTGTCCACCTGGATTTTACTGTGAGGTTATACAGAAGGTACTCTGTCCAGTCAGGGCCACAAGTAGCCAATAGCCACACCGTTAAGAGCAAGATAACACTCCTGTCGATATGTGGGGGTATTTAGTCAGTGACCTTTTGCAATATCACCCACTGGCAATAAAACAGCCCAAGTTATCCCAGTTCTGGAAAAGCATGACTGTTGAGGTCTGCCATGCAGCAGGATGGTGGATTCCCATGTCAGGCCAATTAGTTCCTCTGCCTCCAGAGGGACAAAGTAATGAATCCATTCCAGTGGGATAACACACCAACTCCTAGGTCCTGAGGAATTTAGAAGACCATGCTTTTGTGCCCTCTTAACAACCTGGCAGATTCACTTCTGGAACATCTCATGGGTGGAGGATGACCTGGTGCTCCCCTTGTGGGGTATAGGTACAAATTTAACAACATCAGAACCACAGGTAGCACCTTGCTCAGCACCCCCAGGGAAGCTTTGCCTGTGAGATTATATGTCTGTTGTTTTAGGACACCATTCTTTCCAACAGGCTCATGACCTGGGGGTACCGGACAGGTGATAATGCCATTGGCCCTCATTCTCATCCACACATTTGCATACATCATGACTTTGAAAGTGTGAACTTTGGTCACTGACAATCTTTCCATGTAGTCATACATATATGTATATAAAATAATGTATCCCATACATTATAAAGACATTTGGTCTTTTTAAACTGTTATAACAACCTGATTTGCTTCCTTGCAAAGGAATTCCTGAGTTAGGCTGGAAACTGTCTAAAAACACACAAGAGCATTACCCCTGTAGTGGGAGGTTAAGGGGAATGGGCCTATAAAATCCACCTGCCAATCCACTGTATTTGTGCAGGATGGTGGGATGACGCCTAGAGCATTGACATGAACACACAGAGCAGTCACCAAATCACTACACTATCCTCCCACATTTGCCTCTTGCTTTTTTCCAACTATCATGAGCACTACAACGTCCAACTTTTTCCGTTAATTCAGTGGGCAACTTCCACTTCTGATGTACCATTTTAACTTGTATTTCAGCATCTGATTCCTAGTTCTCCATTGGGGAAAAAAGTGAACAGACATCAGCATCTGAGGTTTGGAGGCAATCTCAGATGTTCTGCCTTAGACCTCAGTCACAAGACTTTGCCCAGTGTTTTCTACTGTTTTCGCTGGCCACCAGTTCACATACTCACAGGCTGTCACCAAAGAGGCTGTACAGAGGTTCAGGGGCCAGGGTTTGTGGGAGATAACATCCACACAGCCTTTAATTTGATGCATTGGCTGCTTTTCCCTAAGCCAATTTCAGACTCCCTCGTGTCAGTGGAGATGTGTGTGCCCACTGCCTTCTACACCTCCCATGTGGGAGTTTATGAAGGATGTTTACTGGGTGGCAGCCGGTCAACTTCAAGTGTCCACATGCTGCAAAGAGAGGCAGCAGCTTTAACTGCAAACACAAGTGGTGTGGAGGACCATGGACCTCCAAGGCTACGTTACCAGTGCTTTGTAAAAGAAGCTTTCCAAGCAGATGTGAGCAGCCAGCAAGAGTGTAGTTGTATTCTTGAATGCCTCTGTTTATCGCAGCAGTATTCACAATACCAAGACAATGTAAACAGCCCAAATGCCCATCAACAGATGAATGGATTGAGACATTGTGATATATCCTCACAAAGGAATACAATGCAGCACTAAGAAGCAGTGATTTTGTAAAATACTATATGACATGGGAGAGGCCAGAGATGCTAAGTGAAATAACTCAGTCTTATAAGGACAAAAACTGCATAAGACCATTATTGTAAAAACAGAAGGGTAAGTGAGCAAGATGTATATAAATGGTTGAGAGGGTAAAAGGAATGGGAGAGGGGGGTGAAAAGAGGAAGGAGGGAGATCATTAGGAAGGAAGTTTAGTGGGCAGATAGGAATAAAGGAATAGGAAAAATTCAATGAGAACTTGAAAAGACAGGGTAATAATAGACATAGATCAGTAGTAATTCTTGAAAGGTTTCGTTCAAACCCAGAGAACATGCCAACAAGCAACACAAGGTTGTATGTAGCATTTATGTATTATGGGCTAAGGCCAAACATTGCATAAACACTGAGAGAAGGCAGAGCAGGAGTGCTTATAATCTCTAGTCAACAGGAAATGTCACTTGGTCCAGCAACAACGACATGTCTTCCAGCCAGCCCACTTCTTTCCTCTATTATTTGTTGGAACATGCTGCTGATGTAAGTGGTCTTGTGTGCCTTGGGGCTGGGCTTTAGGAGAGGAGGGGTGATTCATCCCCTTGGGTTTTCAGACCCCAGGGAAAGCTTACAATTATATAAAATGCAATGTTTATGAATAATTATATGAAATGCAGTGTAAATGAACGATTATATAAAACACAATGTACATGCATTAAAAAAAAGTACCAGTCATATACAAAATACACTTTTCTTTTTTTTATTATTATTTTATTATTTTTGTGTGAGTGTACTGTCAAATCAGATCTGACTGGTACAAGAGGAGATTGTCCCTCCTTCCCTGGCAGAGCATCTGGTGGATTCAAACCATGCGCCTCTGGGATTGTAGTTGCAGCTCCTTGCCACTAGGCCACTAGAGCTCCCCTACAAAATACACTTTTTAGGCTACACAGTACCAAAAAAAGATTATAATCATATTCAGCCTTGCAAAAGCCTGTTCCTTACAGTTATTACTATGAAAAGACTTAACAACACTATGATAGATCATTTTCCTTTTGTAAAAGTTTTCTGTTTTTTTGACTTTTATCCTAAGGTTGAAGGAAGCCATAACAACGAGTAAGGAACAGGAGGCAAAGTACCAGGCCAGCCACCCCAACCTTCAAAAGCTGGATGACTCAGGTTAGTGGATGCCAGCACTCACCCCGTTTGGCTCTGCAGGGTTGGTGTTGGAAATGAGTGGGGAGGGGACCCCAACTGCTGTCACATGGTGTGGATACAGAACACCAAGGATGGAACACAAAGTGCAGGCTGCAGAAAGCAGGGCTCACTCCTCCCACCCCCACAGAGAGAAAAAGAAGAAAGTAGGAGCCTGTATCACATTGAAAAAAATAAGTCTGCCCACCATTGCTTTCTGCCTGACATAGCTCAGATCTCTTCAGGCTAACTATAGGAAAATCCTTGTGGTAGGTAGAATCAGGCACCCAAAGATGGTGGCATGCTAACTCCGGGAGCATGTGAATGTGTGAGGTCAAGTGGCAGTGTGAAAGTGAAGATGGCAGATAAAGAAAGGAAGAACATCAGACAGCTGGCTTTGAGTTGGTAAGAAAGTCTTGGCTTATCAAGAGGGCCCAGCATCATGGCAGTCGACCCCTTTGTAACTAGAAATACATTCTTGTTGCTATCCAGTCAGAACCAACCCATAGCTGGTTTCAGAGGCTGGAAATCACAGGGGAAGAGCTTACCCATCTTTCTCCCGTGGAACCTCTGTTGGATTTGAACCAAAAGACAGCTCCCTGTGGACTGCGCCACCAGGGCTCCCTGCTTGACGGAGCGATACTGCTAGCTCTGACAATCCAGGAAGGTCATAAGCAAGGATGCAGACACCTCCAGAACCTGGAAAAGACAAAGAAATGGGTGCAGGCCTGCTGACCTCTTGATATTATCCCAGTGAGACCTTTGTGGAACTGGAAGCTAAGTCTGTGCTGATGTTTACATGGGCCAACTCAGCAGTGTGGTCAGGTGTGCAGGATGGAATACGTTTTGTTTCCCATCATTTCAGTCAAGATAATTGGTCCATACAGGAGTGTACTACTATAACAAAAATACCACCAGTAAATGTCATTAAAAACAAGTTTCTTTCTCAGAGTTAGGAGACTGAAAGTCTCTCTTTGGTCTTAAGCAGATGGCTTTTCCTTTGTGATATTTGGTTAGGTCCATCAGTCACAGGTAAGCCTCTTTAAGAAAAGATCGTGTAGTCACGTCTGTGGTGAAAATTCTAAGGTACCTCTGCTGACTTTGTACTGCAAGATTTCCAAATCTTGTTTTCATTTTGCACAGTCCATTTTTAAGTGCATCTTTTTTCCTCTCAAACGATAAGCAGCACAAGAAACCGTATTTGCCCTTTAAGATATCTAGCTGCATATCCTAGCTCATTTCTTAATGTTCAGGGCACTGGTTCTGAGGCAGGCTTTCTAACTCTGTCCACACTCAGGGAAGGTCCTTTCCTCCTCAGCGTCTATTCCTTGGCTCCTTCATGTTCTTCATCGCTGCATGCAGCCTTCCCACTTCTCTGCTTACTTCTTTAATCTCTTTTATATCTCAGAAGTTCATGATTTGAGACATACCCTATATTAATCCTGTTCAGTAGCATAAAACTTATTTCCCAAATTGGATTGTAACCATAAGAGTAGGGGTTAGCATTTACAACATGTATTTTGAGGGAGGCGGTCACAGTTCAGCTCATAGCACCTGTAAAGGAAGTTAGCTGTCCTGAGTACTTCTGGAGGTGTCTAGATTTCCAAAACAAAAAATTCATACTTGAGATACCTAAGATGGCGTGGTTAGCCCCCCCAAAAAAATCAGATTTACTGCCTTTGAATCAGTTTTGACTCATGATGGATTTCTGAAGATATAAATCTTTACAGGAAGGCATTCCTAACCTTCTTTCACTTTGCAAGCATATATAATCAGCATCTAATTAATAACAAATTAAATCCTCACATCCTTATCTTCTGGGACTTCCCCTCCAGGAGCTGGAGTCCACACCTGTCCAGCTAAGGAGGGATCTGATAGGGAAGAGCTGGGGTCCACACCTGTCCTGGCTGGCACGGTTGAAGACAAAGCTGATTGGGAAGAGCTGGGGTGCACACCTGTCCTGGCTGGCATGGTTGAAGACAAAGCTGATTGGGAAGAGCTGGGGTCAGCAAAGACTCAGATTGGCATAGTTCCCCAGGGAAATTATAAAAGAGATGAAAAACAAAAATGTTCATGACTCAGGAAAACCTGTCCTTGTCTTTCTCTAGACAAGTGACCTTGAGACATGATTTTAGGGAATTACAAAACCAATTAGTTGGCCTGTTAACTTCAGAATGGATGACACAAACCCGTAAGTACTCAGCTGCTGATGACTGCTTGACAGTTGAGTCTTCTCATAGGTGTGTGATCTACTTCCAAGCAGCAAGCCATTGAATACTGTACAGAGCGCAGCTGTGCTTTGATACACCCACCACTATCATGTCGGAATCTACTCAGCGGCAGTTGGCTTAGCTTTAGGGTTTTATATTCATTCAGAGAGTCCGTGATGGCATAGCACAATAGGTATTGGGCTGTTAAGCAAATGGTCCTAAGATTGAATCCACAAACAACTCTGATGGAGAAAGATGGGCAATGTCTTGTAAAGATTTACAGCCATTGGAAACCCTGTGGTGGGTCACTGAGACTCGGCACAGTGGGTTTTTCTGATGGATCAGGGAATCAAATTGACAGACATCAAATGTGCACAGAAAGCACACAGTTCTAATTCAGCAGCTGCTCTGCAAGGAGGAGAAGAAGGGACAATCTCCCATGTGATTTACTGCCTCTGAAAACCCATTGGAGGTCAGCTGTGGGTTGGTTCCAACCCGCTGGCACACAACAAAAACAAATATGTGCACATTAGGCCCAGTGGATTGGTGTATCAGGATGTCCATAGATAAAAAAGAGATGTCTCTCCTCTGCTCAGGGTTGAATGTATTAAAAAATTATGTAAATCTGCTCTCTATGCCTGTGGTTAAACTCACTTGGGGGTAGATTGGCTTTCTCTTGTTAATAGAGTAAAGTTGGTGTAGAGAGTACCTTGAGCCTTTCTTTTGAGATAGATTATTGTAGTTAGATGCCCTTGAGTTGAGGATGATTACAGCAACCCTGTGAACAACCGATCTGAACCCTGTGCGGTCCTGTGTCAGCCTCACACTTTAGCCCATTGCTGCAATCACTGTGTCAGTCTACCTGGTTGAAGGTCTTCCTCTCCTTCACTGTCACTCCATCTTTCCAAACACAGTGTCCCTCTCCAAGAAATAGTCCCTCCAAGCAACATGCCCAAAGTATGTTAGATGAAGTTTCATCATGTTGCCTCCACGGAGCACTCTGGCTGCACCCTCTCCAAGACACACCTGTTTGTTCTCTTGGCTTTCAATGGGATATACAGCATTCCTCCAACACCACAGCTCAAAGTCATCCTTAGTCATTGTCCAGCTCTCAGATGCGTGCGTAGCAGGTGATACCACCAAGTCTGTTCTCACTCATCAGTGCAGCATACAGCTCATTGAAACACTCCCTGAATGATCCTTGTCATCATTATTGTGTTTGAGCCACTGTGTTCATCTATCTCCCGGAGCTACTTTCTCTGTTGTGCTGAACTTGGTACCAAGTCTGATTTCAGTGATACCACCTTCAGGGGATCGCCCTTTCTGATAATTACATTTTGACTTCTTTAAAGACACGTGTGTTTGTTTTTCTGGCAGTCCGTAGTGGTAGCTATTCTTCACCTTAATTCACATGTGTTGATTCTTCTTTGATCTTCCTTATTCGTTGCCCTGCTTTCACCTACTTATGAGTTGACTGGACCTACTATGGCATGGGTCAGGCAGACCTTAGTTCTCCAAGTGACTTCTTTACTTTTTAAGTCTTGAAGAGGGTTTCTGGCCTAATTTGATTTCCCCAGTAGAATTGTTTGATTTCTTAACTGCTGCTTCCCTGGGCATTGACTGCCAACTCACGGGAAATATCTTTAGCATCTTCACCATTTTTTCCACTTATGATGTTACTTATTGGTCTAGTTGTGAGGATTTTGTTTTCTTTACCTGGAGGTACATTATATATGAAAGACTTTCTTGTCCACAGACAGAACCTAGATCAAGAGTAGCTGTCATTTATTGGAACAAAGTGAGGGAATGCTGAGTTTAAAATTAGTACAAGTATGTATCGAGGTTCTATTCTTTCAAACCAGCCAATGGGATACTGTATAATTAAAAATTAAGAAAAATTTGAGTCATGGTTGTATCATTTCCCCATATTTATTCAATCTTTTGTTGTTGTTGTTGTGTGATTCTGAGTCAGAACCAACTCCTAGCTGCCCCTCCAGTGAGTTTTCCAGGGTAGTAAATCACACAACAATAGATTATCCATCCTTCCACAGAGCAGCTGGTGGATTCAAACCATGTGTCTTTGGGTTGACAGCGCAGCTCCTTACCATAGGTCACCAGAGTTCTCTGTTCAATTTGTATGCTGAGTAATAATGCAAGAAGTTGAACTAGAAGAAGAACAAGGAAGACATCAGGATGAGAGTCCATTAACAAACCTGTGACACAATAATAAAATAATAATAATAGCACTTGCCTCAAGCACTTACTGATGATAGTGTGGGTTACACTTTTGAAATATGAAAGAGAATGAATAAGCCATCAGGGGACAGAGCTAGAAGCTAGATGACACAGCAAATGCAGATCACCATAGAGGCCAGCCATGGGCCAAACAGAGAGAGAGAGCCTCTCCTACAGCACCCCAAAAATTCAGACTTCTAACTTCCAAAGCCATGAGGAAGTAAGCTTCTCTTTGTTAAAGCCGTTTATTTGTGATATTTCTGCCATAGCATTACTAAGACACCCCCTAAAAAAATGTAAACTACAATAACAGTAAGAGCTTTTCTGTGTGCATTTAGAAACTAGCGCTCAATGGCACGTTCTTAGGACAAGTGGACATTATATACATTACTTCTTTGTCTTTATTTTACGTTTGAAAAAAACCCAAACAACAATAAGAATCTATTTCAAAAGAAATCACACCTAACCCATTTCTGTAACCCTGTTTTCTATTTTAAGCCTTGTCTTCCTTTCACACTGCGTCCCATGCACCTGGCAGGTTTTGATTTTGTTGTCCCACTGTTTGTCTCATTACTTGTGTGGATCCACATCTCTTTCCAGAATTGTACCAGTGGACCAGGCAACCCAGACCCCAGGGGGCTGTGATCTCTAAGGACTTGAGCTTACCTGGGGCCCTCTTTGTCCAGCTCAGCTGTGTGTGAGCCAGGCTAGCCTGCTCCCTACCTTGGGTGTTGACCCAGATGTTCTCTAGCCACATACATAAGTCAACAGTCCTCAGCACCTGTCCATTCATTTTTCCAGGTCAAGATTTGTTTTTCTGAGGCAGAATTTCAAAAGATGTCAGCTAATTTTCCTCTTGGTGTTTTTTCAAATTCAGATACCATCTGTAGAGGGAATGATGCTGCTGTGGCTTCTGACATGTACCCCAAGAACCCACACCTCCGTGCCTATCACCAGAAGATTGACAGCAACCTGGGTAAGGCTGTACCAGCCTCTGTGAGGGGCTCAAAGGCCTCAACACCAGCACTCCAGGACCCTCTGGTTTTCAGGGTAGAGCTGTGATTCCCTAAACTTCACACCTAGTCATGTCCATTTCACTCCAGGCACCCTTAGACCTGTCCACTCCTCAACAGGTCCTATGAGGCCCCTCCACCTCCCTGTGAGCCATATCTGCTATCTAGGTCCTCATCCAGCCTCAGTAGACCCCAGTGCCCTGTCCACATCAGCTAGTAGCTTGAGCTCCTGGTTTCCTCTTCCAGGAGATGGGGACAGGGGCAGAATTCACCTCAGGGGGGACTGTTGGGAGGGTATGTGAGCTGACACTGAAACACAAGAGTACCCAGCCTCTTCACTACCTGGTTGTCAAACCAATCCTAACCAGTGCTGTCAAGTTAATTCTGACTCCTAGTGACCCCTCAGTAATTAGCATCTTTTCAGTCACTTGCTATGCATCTGAGAGCTGGACCATTAATAAGGATGACAGAAGAATAATTTATGCCTTTGAGCTGTGATGCTGGAGATGAGCATAAATAGCCCTTTGACAGCCAAAAGAACAAACAGAAGTGTTGCAGAGGGTGCAACCAGAGTACATCTTGGAGGCAAGGATGATGAAGCTTCAACTCACATACTTCGGGCATGCTGCTAGGAGAGGCTATTCCAAAGAGGACATTGTGCTTGGAAAGGTGGAGGGTCAGCAAAAAAGAGGAAGACCCTCAATCAGGTGAATTGACACAGTGACTGCAGCAGTGGGCTTAATGGTGTCCAAGATGCTGAGGATGGCACAGAATAGAACAGGCAGGGTTCAGATCCATTGCTCATAGGGTCACTATGAGTTATACTTGACTCAATGGGACATAACAACATTGCCCCTGGAAGACAGACAGTGCAACATCTCATAGAGTTTCCAAAGCCAGAACAATGAGAAGCCGTGTCATTTCCCCACGAGAGGCTGATGGATTCAAACTGCCAGCCTTTCAAGTGCTCTTGACCACTAGACTACCTCCTGCCCAGCTTCTAGAGTGGTCTCATAAAAGCCCCTCACAACTGGCCCTCCTACTAGAGTACCATCCAGATTTTTCCCCCCATATTTGTTGGTTCTCTTGGCCATCCCTGGGATGTTCAGTATTCTCCAGCAGCACAGCTCAAAGGCGTCAGTTCTTCTGTCATCCTCATTGATTGTCCCGCTCTCAGATGCATAGCAAGTTAGTAGGCAAGCACAAGCCATTTGTACACCTCAAGGCTCTCTCCAAGGAGGACCATTATACTAACAGTTATCTTTGAGGGAGTGGACAGCGCTCTGTACTGGTTACTTATCACTTTTTATTGATCCAACAAGATTGCTTTGATACCCACTTTGGAAAATGTAACCAGAGCCTTTCTTACAGGAAAGCAGACCTGGGAATCTAAACGTGTGTTCTGACCTGTGTGTCTTTGCCTCCACAGGTGAGCTGTCAGTGGGGCTGGGTCGCTTGAAGGACATTGCCTTGGGCATGCAGACTGAGATCGAGGAGCAGGACAACATCCTGGACCGGCTTACAACCAAAGTAGACAAGCTGGACATCAACATCAAAAGCACGGAGAAGAAAGTCCGACAACTGTGAAGCTGAAGGTTTTTACTTTGTCGTGATGAAGAGAGTCAAAAGGTCTTTTTTAAATGCCCAAGAAATTTCATCTCCTATTTTATTATGTCATTTACTATATGATTGCAAACATCCCAGAGCAGGTCAGGAGAGGTTTTACTGTTAGGAAGAAGTACATGTCCTTTAAAGTTCTTTCAAATGAATTCTTGGTGTTTCAGTCAGCACAGCTTTGGCCCTAAAACATCTCAGACCTCTGATTACCACTCTGGAATGTGAAGAAAGAGTTGCATTTCTCACTTTAATGAGCATATAGAAAGTGGGAGCAGAATGTCAGTATTAGAACCATCAACTCTTTCTTGGTTTAGAGTAGTTTCCATTCTTTACTTTTAACTTTTCCTTGGGGGGCTGGAGGCCAGAAGTAGCCATAATCCTCTCCCACACTGAGCAGATTATGATCTTTCAACACCCAAGAAGAGAATCTGTCTCATCCAGGAGTAGAGCTAGGCAGCATTCTTTGCTCTTGTGGATAATGGTCCCCTCTTCCCCCATGACCCTTCTGACTTTGATGTGGGTTTCAGTAGGAGAGCATGGATCTTCGCCTGCCATCTGAGTCCACATGATCATCTCTGACTCTCCCTCTGGTTCAGAACAGTCTTTTCTGGCTCACATGGCCTGGCTGACCAATTGAGCAGTCCTGTAGGATTTATAAGAATGAAAAATCACAATTGATCATTTGTCCTTTATGACTAAGCAAGGAGTCTCCTTCCACCAAGCACCCAACCCATCTGGGATTCGCCCTACTGACCAAGCCTAGTGTATGGCAAATGTTTAGTACCTGGGGTCACCTGGTTTTTCCAGGATCCCCACCCATGCTTTTAGCAGAGGTGACTCACACTTTTGTTCTCTGTCACCCAGTTTTAGGACTAGAGTTTGAAGCTCCTGAGGTAATGCTGTTTTTGCCTAGAATGATTTAGCTAAAACACAAACATGTGATCCTTTTACTTGGCCCAGCTTATTACTCTTGCCTTTCATCTTATAAAAAAGTTCATTGAGGGGAGTCCAGGCGACCCGGGCTTCTGTGAAACATGGCGATCGGCTGGGACCATAATACAAGCATAACTATATGAAGGAAGAAGAGAAAGGTTTTCCTGAAGATGAGGTGACTGAATAGGAAAAAAACTTTAAATTTGGTGAAAGAGTTGGATGCCTTTCCAAAAGTTCCTGAGAGCTATGTAGAAACTTCAGCCAGTGGTGGAACAGTTTCTCTAATAGCATTTACCACGATGGCTTTATTAACCATAATGGAATTTTCAGTGTATCAAGATACATGGCTGAAGTATGAATATGAAGTAGACAAAGATTTTTCTAGCAAATTGAGAATCAATATAGATACTACTGTTGCCATGAAGTGTCAGTATGTTGGAGCTGATGTATTAGATTTAGCAGAGACAATGGTTGCATCTGCAGATGGTCTAGTTTATGAACCAACAATATTTGATCTTTCACCCCAGCAAAGAGAGTGGCAGAGGATGCTACAGCTGATACAAAGTAGGCTGCAAGAAGAGCATTCCCTTCAAGATGTGATATTTAAAAGTGCTTCAACAGCACTTCCACCAAGGGAAGATAATGCATCACAGCCGCCAGATGCCTGCAGAATTCAAGGTCATCTGTATGTCAATAAAGTAGCAGGGAATTTTCACATAACAGTGGGCAAGGCAATTCCACATCCACGAGGCCATGCACATTTGGCAGCACTTGTCAACCATGACTCTTACAACTTCTCTCATAGAAGAGACCGTTTGTCTTTTGGAGAGCTTGTTCCAGGAATTATTAATCCTTTAGATGGAACTGAAAAAATTGCTGTAGATCACAGCCAGATATTCCAATATTTTATTACAGTTGTGCCAACAAAACTACATACATATAAAATTTCAGCAGACACTCATCAGTTTTCTGTGACTGAAAGGGAGCGTGTCATTAACCATGCTGCAGGCAGCCATGGAGTCTCTGGGATATTTATGAAATACGATCTCAGTTCTCTTATGGTGACAGTTACTGAAGAGCATATGCCATTCTGGCAATTCTTTGTAAGACTCTGTGGTATTGTTGGAGGAATCTTTTCAACAACAGGCATGTTACATGGAATTGGAAAATTTATAGTTGAAATAGTTTGCTGTCGTTTCAGACTTGGAGCCTACAAACCTGTCAGTTCTATCCCCTTTGAAGATGGCCACACAGACAACCACTTACCTCTTTTAGAAAATAATACACATTAACACCTCTCAAAGGAGAAAAACTTTTTGCCTGGAACAGAAAACCTTTTTTTAATAATAAAATATTGTGCAATATATACAAAGGAAAGAAAATATGAGTGAGAAGCAGGAAACATACAATGGGAAAAAAGAAAAAGAAACAAACCCCAAAGTGAAAACCTATATATATTTTGTCTGTTACAAATGTCCTAGAAGAAATTATGCCTCTAATCAGTGACTAAACCCAACTGGAGTATTACTTTGAAGATGACCCTTCTGATAACTTTCACAACAAATGGGCAGTATCCCAACTCAGACCTGGTGACCAAAAGCCTGAAAAGAAAACATCAAACATCTCGAAAGAAAAAGGCATTGTTAAGTGCAAATGTTTGTGCCCCTTTGTTTTTAAAAGATTTTATCAGAATAAAATATGGAAAACTAGTCTAGACTTTAAAAAAAAAGTTCATTGAAAAGTGCTTAAAATTAATTTCTACAATGCTAATTTCTTTTTCTTAGAAATTGGCATTCTCTTAATGTAAATTTCATCCCAACTAAATGAAGCGGAAAGATCTAATAAAATCTAATAAATTAATGAAAACATTTTCTTTCTATGATGTTAAGTGCGACCTATTTTGATCATGTGACAGGTCAGAAAATCATTTAAAATAACAGTGCCTTTCACTGTCAGACATGGTGCTGATTGTGGTGACACCTACCACTGTGTAATGCTTTCGTCTGTGCACCCTGCCTATAAACAAGAGTCCCTAATGCAGAGGAGGCCTCTCTGAAGTGCTGCAGCAGCACAGTGGTATTTATGTCACTGCTCCCTTATAGGAAGCCCATCTTCTCATGCAGGAGTTTTTTAGAAGTACTGGCAGTGTCCACTGGCAAGCAGAGCCCTCTGTGACACTGGTCCTGTCCCAGCCACCTCAGGGAATGCTCGTCGCGAATATCCCAGCTAACCAAAGTGAGGACTTACTCATCTGATGAGCTCAGCATCATTCTTTTCTTAGAACTGGTGATATGCACCCAGCCCAAACAAAACGCATTCAGAGGACATTCAGCACAGATGCTACCCAAACATGTGAAACAAAGTTAAAAGTCATGTGTGTATTTCCATCCGTTTCTCCTTTTTCCTCCCTAGCACCAACTCTTATGTTCATAACCTGATTCTCCGTGTCATTCAGCATTAACTTTGGAAATTGTACAAGATATCTTAGATTTACACTTACATTTTCATAGAGAGACACTTAAAAGCCACGCCAGGTCTTCAGCAGCAATCCTGGGGAACATTTGTAACTTAACTGACCCGAAGCAGAATAGCATTAGAGTTTATGTCCCAGCCTGGCCTATTGTTGCCTTGGTAGACCATTCTTCCTGCTTCCTTTCTTTTCAGTACAAGTGTGTGAAAAGAGAGTGCCCCTCAGTTTTGTAGAACTCTTATGTTGGAGGGCTTATCTGTTTTGTTCTTATTCCAAGGCCTTAGCCAGAGCACTATCTCTTAAGTTCCAGTGGCCCATCATGTTTCTGCCAACTCTTCTTTCTGCTCCCACAGAAGGACTGATTACTGATGCTGCTTTGTAAAGTTGCTTGCATTTTAATATAGTGATGGTGATTAAAAGAAAATCATTTTACCCCCAACCCAGACCCATCTCTCAGGACATGCTTCCAGAATGCCAGGACCTGCCTTTTTTGGTGGGTTGGGTTTCTTCCTGCCATATTTGGGATGTGACAGATTTCTCATTACCACAGATGGGATGGACACAGACTTGTGTTTTAAAAAGTGGCTTTTCTAATTTCAGATTATGTTAAGTATGCTACTGACATAAAATGGCACATTCTTTTTTTTTTCTTTTTTATACTAATTTATTTGCAAAGTTTGCCAGTTTTTTTTGGTTTTTTTTTTTCTCTTTCATTTTTTCTTTTTTTTTCCCTATAATTATATTTTATTAATTTTCATAAACATTTACAGAGATTTTGGGCTTCCACTCATTCATTGTTGCACTATTCTCTCTACCCTCCTCCCAGTTTGTTCTTGTCCAAATGCCACAGTGCTTGTCAAAGCCAGTTCTGATTAATCTTCTTTGTCAGTGTATCCTTTGCCATTCCCTATCACTCCTCCCTGAGAGAGACTTCACCCTGAGTCATAAGGAAAAGGGGACGGCGTATTCTCTTAGCTACTTAAAATGGCACATTCTGACACCTAGAAACTTGTAAGCGCACAGAAACAGGGTTACCAGCTACATGACTTTTTTTCCTCCCCTCATTTCTTTAGAAAAGAAGACCAGACTCTAACTCAGTGTGCCAGGAAGAAAATTTTACTTAAAAAGCGTTTTCATTTTCCTTTCTTAAACTTTTCTGTGAATGTGTCATTTTAAGTGCACACTTCACCAATCTAATAAAAGTGTCATGCTTTGCTTACCTGCCTTTGCTGTGGATTTGTGAAATTGGTGGCACCTCACTGGTGACGGAAGTGTCTGTGCTCTGAATGCCGAGCTCATCCTTAAAGGTGCTCACTGTGCCACGTAGGGTAGGGCACCTGGCCATTGTTTAGAGTCAGTATGAGAACAGCTATTTCTTATGCCTAGTCCTTTCAACTCAACAAATGACCATACTCCATAGAATAAAACGTGAAGTTATTTTCTAATCATATCCTGTCTCCTGCATAGTCATTTTCAAGGAATTAAATGGAAAGGCTCACCTGGGCTTGACGGGCACCATGAGCCTCTTCTCCCCTCCTCAGAGTGTGCTTAGCATCTCTCTCCCACC